ACCCAATACCTCTTAACTAAGGAATAGACCTTAGATCTTAATATTCAGGCCCCTAGAATTTGAGGTATAATCCTTAATTAAGGGGTATTGGGTTCTCTGGGCCTATGAGGAGGGGTCCGAGGGTTTAGGGCTTAAGGGGTTGAGGGTTTTGGGTTTACAGGGTTTTTTTAAGGCTTCTATATGGCCTGTACAGGGGTTCTATAGGGCCTCCATAAGGGTTCCATGAGGGTTTGGGGGTCTGTGGCCTTTTAAGGCTTCTATCAGATTTCTATAGGCCTCCATAACGGTTCCACGAGGGCTGAGGGATCTAGATTTTTGCGTTGTCGGGCCTTTCGGGTTTCTAGAGTGTTTAAAAGTTTCCAGGTGTTTGGGGGAATAGGCATGTAGGATCTAGGGATTTAGGGCTTTGGGGTTTTCAAGTTTCAAGTTGCAAGTTTAACAAGATGATGGAAGCACCCTCGCTATTTACGCCCATCAGAGGCCCTAAATCCTATCCGCAGGTGTTGGGTTCATGGCTTGAGGGTGAATTGGGGGTTGTGGGTCCGCACTCAAAATCGTGTTGAAGACTTCTCGAAATTTCGGCACGACTTCGGTTCCAAAGCAAGCGGCCTAAACCCTAAACCCTAAACCCCTAAACCCCTAAACCCCTAAACCCTAAACCCTGAACCCGAAGCATAGGGCCACAGAGTCCGAAGCCCCAAGGTTGCAGCAACCGAAGCCCCAAGGTTGCCTGGCCGTATGGCATTGCACCCCGAGGACAGATGGGTAGTTCTCTAAGTTAGGGTCCCTTTTTGGATCCCCAATTATAGTACGGCACATTTATAAAAAGGGACCCTAAAAGGGACCCTAATTTAGAGAACTACCCAGAGAGTTCTGGTCCTCACACCCTTGAAACTCGAAGCCACTGCGTTGCAGACGGCTTGAGCCCTAGAACCCCGGAGTCAAAACCCTAGGAGGCCCCGAGAATCAAGAGCTGTGCTGTTTTCATTGTACCAGTAGGTAGTGAACACGACACAGGTGATAATTCAGATGTCCTGTTATGCTCTGATGGATTCTGAACTGATGATGTCTTGAAGCCATGGTCGGTCCCAGCTCGCGTCCTAGAGATGGTGACACGCTACAACCCGAAATCCCATGAATACATCAATGCCAGAGCTTCTGGGGCCTGTCTTCGTGAGAGGCAAAGTCTAGCTTTTTGCTCGCCTGCGCGGATAGATACGGCTGGACCCTGAGAGGCAGTTAAGGAGCGAGTGACAGGCCTCACTATTCAGTGTTGCGGGGTCATGGTTTTGTGCTTCGGGTCTTCCGATTTGTTGCTCCGTTCGAACTCGACATGCTTAGGTGCCACGAGCTCTCGCATCTCGCAAGACAGCTTCGCAATGTGCAAGAAGAACATCGAACCCAAAGCAGTCGGTTTCTAAATCCTATGTAGAGGAATCAAGTACTGCACGTATTTGAGTTGCGATCGCTGCAACAGCGGCGAGGTTCTGTGGAGAAGGCCTTCTGGGAGATGGAGTTGGAGACTAAGCCCCTGGTCTCGCACGAGGTCCCCTGGTGGCAGAGGGGTTACCAGTAGTATTAGTACGAGTAGTAGCACTACCACAGCGCTAGCACGAGCACCAGCACTAGCACTACCGGTAGGAGAGCAGTGGGAGTGGGAGAAGGAGGAGGAGTAGAAGGTATAATAGACATAGTAGGTTTCTAAACAGTGTTGCACCTCTGCCTCGAGATCCGCCATGGCCGCCAGCATAGCTACCAGCAGCAGCAGCAGCAGTGGCATTACCACCACCAACACCACCAGCACCAGCAACACCACCACCACCATCATCCCCGCCAGCACTACCACCACCACCCACCACCCACCACCCACCACCCACCACCAACCACCACCACGCAACGGAAGTGCTCGCAGCAACGGCAGCAACAGCATCAGCAGCGTGGCAATCGTCATATTTGATCGTTCTCATCATTGTCACCATCATCATCATCATCATCATCATCATCATCATTGTCATCATCCGTTTCCCTTCTCATCACCAGCCTCATCATATTGTCTTTATTCCTTCACCATCATCGTCATCATCATCATCACCATCATCACGATGATGGTGATGAATCACCACTCTCGCCATAAACGGCAGCAGCACTGCTGTGCCGGCAAACCACACACCTCCTGAAAGACTAAGTCTGACTAAGTCAGAACCAGCTTGAGTTGTTCGCCAACTGGGCTTCAGTGCTTAAGCTTCTCATTTCGAGCTTGGCCTGCCAGGATTTCAATCGCCTGTGCATCGAGATCAACATGCAGAAGAACAGAAGACTTCTTTTCGAATACGCCGATCTGAAAGGCGCTGTGTCTTCACAAGCTTCAGCGTTCAGGTCAGGGGTTGAGCCTTCAAGATGACCAACACTCAGGACAACCTCGTATGTGAACTGCGCAGTCCTAGTGGCCAAGAACTGCAGAACCCGACCACCGTAAACCCTGTGTTTCCCGCCCCAACGCGACATGTCCCTAATCATCCCTAATCCCTTTAAACCCACAACCCTAAAACCGTAAAGCCCGAAAGCCTAAACCAGAACGCCAGACCCGAAACCCGAAGCCCAGAATCCTCGAGACTCTTCTCCCCAAACCTTTGTCGAAAAGGACTCGGGATGATCTCCCTGGAGACGTTGGATGCAGAGGCCGCCTTCGACGCATCAGGGGAGGGGGGTGTATACCGTCTACAGGGGAGAAAGAACGAGAGAGAGAGAGAGGGAGACGCAGAGAGAAAGACAGAGAGAGAGAGAGAGAGACTAACAGCGGGTGGGCTAAATGCCCGGGGGGCCTGGATGGCCCCTTATGCCTGGGAGAAGAAGGGAAGAGAGAGAGCGAGAGAGAGACAAAGAGACAGAGACAGGTCCACATTCGCATGTTTTTTTGTGTTTGTTTGTTGTTTTGGGGTTAAGTTCGCCCGTGCACACGGATTCCACGTCCAGCCAGTCTGGAACTGGAGAAAGAAGCAGACCTGCACGTTGCAGGAAAGAGGAATGCACAGGTGTGTGCATGGGCATGATGCCTCTCTCCCTCTCTCTCTTTCGCTCTCTGTCTCTCTTTATTTATCTCTCCCTCTTTCACTCCTGCTGTGCTGTATATCGTGTATAGTCACTGTATAGTTGCATACATACGTACCTATATATGCACTTCTGCATGCACGTATCTATGCTGTATGTTAGTCAATGCTAGGCATACATGGCAGTTACATCTGAACCTGTACGTACATGCATACATCTATATGGTACATGCGCAGGTGGATGGATGAAGGCATGGCTGGGCAGGCATGTATGCAGGAAGGAACGCACGTGGGCAAGTAAGCAGTGCTCCGCATCTGTTTCTGCTATGTTGCAGTTCCAAGACGAGATTGCAGGTCTTGTGTCAAAAGCTTGAGAGTTGGGCCGGGTGGGGGCGGCTGGGGTGGAGGGCAGGCAGGGGGGGCGGGGGCTTGGGCAGCGGCTTCATCGATCTGACCCTTGATATCGCAGGTCTTTTGCTCTTCGGTGGTTGTTGCAGTTGCTGTAAGATGCTCGTTTTCTTTTCGATCCGATGATTCTCTCTGCTGGACGTGAACCTGAGGCCTGCAAGAACGTCTTCGGAAAGATTGCCTGCAAAGAAGCTCAGGCTGGCAGGGCTAGGATAGGCGGAAAGGAAGTGCTTTTAAACCTCGGCGTGTGGGTCAAAGACTCGGATTTTACATGACTTCCCAATCACGATCTTCAACTCGTCAGGAGGCATCAGGTTTAAATGCAGAACAGGGTGAAGGGGCATCTTTCGTTCATTCAGGGATGCACGGTCCAGTGGTGCAAGCACTCACTCCGAAGTGGCTCTCCAAGACCGTGTCACGAGAAGACGAGCTGGCCTTGGAATCCCGGCAAAGCATGGAAGAGCGGGCTCTGCCAGGAACTGTTGGGCTTTAGGGCTTGGGGCCCCCACCAGCCATGGCTCTACGGTTGAGGGCTTGTTTAGGGTTTAGGATTTCGCATGAAGGGGTGTGCGTGTGGCTATAACATCCCATGGCCCAAACCAGCTTCTCAGGCACACCTTCCCACAAAGCGATCCGGTCATTTTCCCTCAAGATCCCAACGAAGAATCTCGTGTTCCTGAGGCGAGGAGAGTAGAAGGATGAAGGCCAACAACATTGGCATCTTGAAAGCCAGCAAGGTCAACACGAAAAGCAAGCAGACACCTGCGGTCTGGCACCACACAGCTGAAATCAGCTCTGCCCCTCCCAACCCCTGAACTTAGGTAGGCTGCCATCACGACAGCATGCGTTAGTTATTGATTATGATTGTTTAACTGTCACGATAACGGTCACCCGAGCTTGCGGCCTGGTTTCGAAGGCCCAGCTTGCCGAAAGGTCGCCGGAGAAGAAGGCGTTTGCATGCAGAAGGTCTATGAATTTGGGGTTTAGGCGTTTCGGGCTGCAGAAAGTTTAGGGGTGTGGGTCGAGGGCTCTGTTTCATCTGTTGCATCTCAAGTCCGGTATGAAGAGCAGGGGTCTTAAGAAGACCCAGGGTTCCTCTGTGCTCTTCGCTGCTCCTGGGGGTTCTTGGGAGCCCAGGGCCCTGGCCCTGCTAACAGGGAAGACCTCAGGATGTTAAACCGTTTAGGGTTTAGGGTTTAGGGTTTAGGGTTTAGGGGTTTAGGGGTTTAGGGTTTAGGGTTTAGGATGTTAAACCGTTTAGGGTTTAGGGTTAAAGCCCAAAGCCCTGAAAAGCATAAACCCTGACTAACAAAGCCTAGGAGCCATTGCATGTGGCTTGAGGTGTTCGGATTTGAAGCCTCCGCGGCTTCCGGTTCATTCTTCTTGATCATGGCTTGAAGTTTGGGTCTGACGCTTGGGCCAACTAGAACCTGGTATTTTTTGCAGAAACACCATACAAACACGTGATGACAAATTCAGGTCAGACCAAGTTAGTACATGCGCAGATCGAATTCCATGAGCCGTGCCTGACTTTCGCAGGAACGCAAGACCATCCACCGCCGTGCGGCCGGGCACCCGGTAAGTTTCAGAGAGGAGTGGGAAGGTTACAACTTATCCCAAACCTGAGCAGCTGTTTCCCCATACCGTACCACAGCATGCTGGCCTAGGCTTTGATTGGAGCAAGTTGTAGATTATTGTAGATTTCCGGTGTACAGAAGTCGCAGTCTATGTCGATTCTATGTGGATGACACTGACAGTCCTTTGCCCACCTCAGCCAGCAAAGCCTGTTCGACTGATTCAGACTATTATGCTGTCTGCCTCAACCTCAAGCCCTGGGCCCAAACAAAATCGAGCACCCAGAACTCCGCAGCCTTTTCAGGTGGAGCAGTGCGCCCTGACCCACCGGGCTCCCGAAGAGCTGCGGCAGCGGCGGCAGGCTTCGGGATCACCCTCTGCGTTACCATAGCTGAGGAAGTTAAAGGAGTCATCATCGTGCACCTGGCTCCATCGACTCTCTTGAAACCGAGTTCCATATATTCCGAACTAGAGGGTCTGCTGCCGGGGCTGCACAAGGCTCTCTTTCAGGCTTCTCTCCAAGGTACTAATGAGGACTCAGTTCTAGTACAGGAAGGGCACCAAGAAAGACCATCTTGTTCAGAACAGCCCGCACCGCTGCAATATGGTTTTGATATATCATGCCAACATGCATAATGTATCTATGTGTCTATCTATCTAGCATCCATTTGGCTCATTTGTATATGTATGTGTGTGTGTGTATATATATATATATATATATACGTATGCATATATGCTACAGGGCTTGAGTTAGTTAGGCTTCGGTCCGCGAGCGGGCACAGGGATGTCGGACGAGACGTAGATGGTTTGGCTGCCAGAATCATCCGGGCAAGTGTCTTTGAAACCCCCTTCGGTTTCCATGACATCAGCACTCTGCAAGCTGTAGCGGAGGCACACATTGTGTCAAGCAGTGTGTTTTGATTTTAAGGAGCCGAGTTTCGGGCTTCAACAGAGGAGCAAGGTGCATATGCCGTGGGCCGAGAAACATAGGAACTCTGAACCCTTACCGGAAGCCGTAAACTCCATGCGATGGCAGGAGATTGTGGAGCTGCTCGAGGACGGGAGTTGCTGTATCAGGTTCTGCTGCAGACTAGCATGGTCACTCGCTTAAGCTGGCAATCTAGAGGTTGTTCCTGAGTCATGGCCTTGTGATTCGAGCTCAGATATTTGTTCGGAAAGTGTTTCGGCCAAGTTGTAGCCTTGCTGAGAACGCAGGCGCGGTTCGATTCTCCGGTACGCGCTTGGGCGAACCTGTTGGACCTTCACGCAAAGGGGAAGCTGAAGAGGCGCGCCAACGTCTTCAGTTTGATGGCACCCAGGTTAAGAGCTTGGGTTCATTCAAAGCTTACTGTTTAGGACTTCCGAGGTTCCTTCCAAAAGTCTATGTACAGATGTGTGTATTTTTGTGTGTATGTCATTGTCTAAAGTTACACCAGTGTACATATACATACCTTCAAGGGGTCCCTTTAAAGGAACCCAAGGGCCCTCGCCTGAGGCGGGAGTTCCAGACCAGCATGTCCGTCCTGGGCTATGCTGGGAACGTCAAGAAGCTTTGGGCGAAACCGGCTCGGATTTGTCGGGTTTAGGGCCTGTAGGGTTTAGGGCCTTTAGGGCTTAGGGCCTTTAGGTTTTGCGGCCTTTGGGACTTTTATTTTGGCGAGTGGAGGGTTTTAGGGTTTTTTGGTGGGCTTGCAGGCTTCCGGGCTTGGGGGTGTTACTCTTTTTAGGGTCGGCGGGTTCAGGGAGCTCAGGGCTGCACGGGTTAGGGTTTGCGGATAGGGTATTTAGGATGTCTGGCTTTGGGGTTCCAGGGTTTACCCATAGGCCCTAAAGTAGTTCATATATAGAACCCTATAAGGTAACCCCAAAAATAAGGAACTACTATGGGGCCCACGGGTAGTGTCTTGGGGAGTCCTGCAATCCGCAATCGACGCAATTCCCCAGAGACCCTACTCGGCATCTGAGCTTCTACCCATGGGCCCCATAGTAGTTCCTTTTGGGGGCCCGCAGAGAATCCCCAGCTTTCTACAGCCCCCGGGACGCCTCCCCCTTCCGACAACAGAACACCCTGGAATTCCAAAAACACGGCATTCTGGCCAGGAAGAGATGGGCTTGAAACCCAAGCAGTCTGTCAGGCCTGCCTTTGCTCAGGGCGTTATCTTCGTTTGTGGACTTAAGGGCGTTACGGCTTAGGGCTGTGGGGTTCAGCTTGAAGATGTTGAGTCGTGGGCTTTGGCTCACTTAGATAAAGTTTGTGTTTTGGGTTGCAAGCCCAGGTTCAGGGCTTCGACAGTCGAGGACCCACATCTTAAAGCCCCACATACCATCACCAAGCTGACCGATACCCGCATTCTGTGCACGGAACAAGCCTGCAGACGCCCCCCAGCGCCAGGACTCACTCTGGGAAGTGGCCCCACCTGTGGCTGTTCAACACATAGCCATCTACGCTCATACAGGGGATCCTTCTGCTATGACTGATAAGGATATATGATATTTTGTCTAGGAATCATAAGACTGATCGAAAGAATCATGTCACTGACATACCGAGCCTTTGCCGCAGGTTTAAAGACCTATGTCCCGAAGTGATAGACGCCAGCCTGGCGCGTTTGCGGCCACCAAAGTCTTAGAATTTGCGATGTTCAGGCAGCTGCGATAGTGGTGCCAGGTGGGTGTTCTGAGTGGAAATTGCCTTTGAATGTGCCGTTTAGAAACAGCACGGTGAGACAGACCCTGCTGCAAGTCTCTGAGAGAGTAGCCCCAAACCCTCTTCCTGGCTTTGCATGACCATCAACACACCTGCAGGACATGCGGTAGAAGCGAAGTACCTCGAAAGGGTCTTCTGCGCCCCCCAACTCTGAAAGCAAGGTCCGAGCTTCAAAATCTTCAATCACCGGATTCCCCAAACCCTGAAAAATTCTGTCGAGGTGTCACTCTGGGAAGCTTCTCCATGTACCGTATGGAATACCTTTGGGGGCCACTCATTACCGGACTTGGGACGATCGCCCTTAGTCGGGGCCATTTCCGGTCTCTGCCGCTTGCCAGAGCCGCTGTCAGCCATCTGGAACCCTGGGCAAATTCGCGGCTTTATGCTCCGGCGGGCCGCTCCATCCAACTCCAAACACCTGCACTCCTGAGGCCTAAACCCTAAAGCTGAGCCCTATACTAAACCCAAACCGAAACCCGACCAACCCTAAACCCCATAAACCCTTAACCCTAAACCGCCAAAAAACCCTAAACCCTAAACCCCCCAAAATCCCTAAACCCTAAACCCCAAAAATCCTTAAACCCTAAACCCCAAAAAATCCTAAACCCTAAACCCAAAAAACCTTAAAGTACGCCCTAAGCCCTAAACCCTAAACCTTAAGCCCTGAACACAAAGTCCCGAGACTCGGATTCCACGCCAGGAGATCCGCGAGTTCAAAAACATGGCCGGCAAGAAGATCATTACCTTGATCCAGGCTGGGAGGGGGGCTTTTAGGGTTCAGGGTTTAGGGCTTAGGGCTGAGAGGGGGGTTTTAGGTTTCAGGGTTTAGGGTTTAGGGCTTAGGGCTGAGAGGGGGGTTTTAGGGTTCAGGATTGACGGTGTAAGGATTCAATTCAAGGGTTTGGGGTGTAAGCGTCTGGAATTGAGGGTGCGAGGTATCCAGAAAACGCGGAGCTCGTACTTCCACGAAAGTTCCAAGTCTCGCCGCCGCAATCGCCGCCACTACCTGAAACAGCCTCTGAGCCCCTCAACCCTACAACCTAAACCCTAAGCCCTTATCCCTAAACCCTAAACCCTAAACTCCCTAAACCCTAAACCCTACCACCACTGACAAGCCTAAACTCAGCCTGAAGCCTTGAACGCCAAAGGCCATGGGCCCAGGCCTAGACCCGAAGGTTCCAAGCAACAGCCCTTAACCTTAGGGTTTAGGGTTTAGGGTTTAGGGTTTAGGGTTGTAAGCTTCACTACTATAGTATGATATTGAGTTCGTTATTATAGTGAGTCATTATCTCATATGGATATTATTTCATGTTATGTTACATCTTACGAACATTCAGTGCAGCTTCATGCTATTGTAGTTAGCCCCAGACCTCAAGACCCCAAACCCTAAACCCTAAAGAACCCTAAACCCTAAACCCTAAAGAGCCCTAAACCCTAAAGAACCCTAAACTCGAAAGAACCCTAAACCCTAAACCCTAAAGAACCCTAAACCCTGAACCCTTTGGAGGTCTCCGAGGTGGCAGCAGGCCCCGGCAAAAGCAAAAAGGCCAGGCCCCCGCTTTCTAACGAAGTTTCTGTTGGGTTTGGGGTTGAGGGTTTAGGGTTTGGGGTTTCGGGGGGGGTGTTTAGGCCTCTGTAGGTTTTGAGGCTTTGGGGGTTTCGGGGTTTGGTTTTTGGGAGGGGCTGCTGTGGACAAGTCAGGCCGATTCCGGATGCCACCGTTTCGGCCTTGTTGACAGAGTTTTAGGGCCCCGGGTATACAAACCTCAAGCAGTGGCCCCAGATGGTGCCCAATCTCACGTGAAGTGGGCCCATCGCCGAGGTCGGGCTTATGATTCAGGCTTGAAAGCACTGGTTCCAGATTTCCTCTGATGCTGAGTCCCGCGGGATCAGAGGGAGAGGGAGTTAATTTTGGTTGGTATCATCGTTCTAGCCACCTACCTGTTACCTCATGTGCACCTTTGAGAGAAGCTCAGAATCGAGCAGCCAGTGCACGAGGCAGGCGTGCCTGTCGACACCGACGAGTACTACAAGGCCACGACTCTCCAGCCCTGCCAAGTTCGACAGCCGTCTGTTCCCGCAGTTTTTATTATTATTCATATGATCATTACTATTATTGTTACTACTATCACTACTAGTATTAGTACTAGTACTACTGAACCCCAGGTCATCGACGCCATTGATTACCCCGGTGACGCAGAAAGGCTTCTGAGGCTGGCAGGACATGTGCACAGACTTTGGGTCTAGGGTGCTATGTCTTAACCGTAGTGACGCCGTAGTGTATGACAGGTGGTCTGCTATCACGCATCGCTGCTGAGAGGATACGTGTATATGGACATACATGCATGCATACATGCGTAGATGCACATACAGACGTATATATGTAGCTGCGCGTATGTAGCTTACAATGCCACATGTCATATTGCTGCACCACATACTACACTCCAACAATTGTTTCTTGCAGCGTGGTATCATGTCACATGTGCAGTAGTGCTGGTGTCGCGGTGTTTTAGTTCGTACTGCGGTGGTTCACCGTTATGTTTTGTGGGATGGGTGGTGGAGGCATCTGGATCCCGGCAATGTGGGCTACGTGAACACCAGAACTCTGCGCATTCTCAACGAGCAGAAGAGCGAGGAGAAGGCCGGTCAGCATGCAAAGTCTAGCGCCGATCCAGTCTGACGTCGTGTAATAGCACCCCACATGTTTCAAGACTGTCTGGTGCTTAGTAGGGCATGGGTTATAGGGACTACTATAAGGGACCTTATAAGGGACTATCATAGGGATTCATTCCCCCATTCCCTACTAAGCATCAGACAGAAGAGATCTGCAAGGATCGTCTCCTGACACTTCTGACGTTGAATGTGCTCTTAGAGTTCCAAGGTAGTCTGCATCAAGACTGCCAGATCTGGTGGCTTTTAACGTCACTTTACAGACCTGCCAGAGTGACAATATATATATATATACACACACATATATGCGTATATGTATGTATGTATGTATGTATGTATGTATGTATGTATGTATGTATGCATAAATATATATATAGATATATATATACATATATATATATATATATGTGTGTTTATTCATATAACCGCACTTGCCGCCATAGTTAAGAGCTGTTAGTAGCATAGCTGTAGTTTCACAGTTCTCTCGCTCTTGTTCTTCTTAGTTCGCTATTTTGCCCCTTAATGCATTAACCGCACTTGTCGGCCTTGCAAATCTGAGTCTCCAGGTCTGTGGCTCGCATCAAACAATAATCCTACTAGGCTAGTTACTAGGCCCCATAAACTCTTGGGTTCGGCAGCAGGAAGCTTGGGTGATCAGTTAGTCGATGTGACGGCTCGGCGACCGTTCATCGCACTAACCTCACCAAGTGCGAAATCCGCTCGTTGCAAGGCCGTCCCGCAGTACTTGAAGAAGTCCCTCGGATGTTTTAAATCCTTACTAAGCAGGAGTTTGGGACCTTTTGATGGCTTTGACCTTTGAGGAAGTTGTCTCCAGGAACAGACTAGCAGTTACTGTCGTGGTGACTGTTCTCATACACAATAGCATCGTTGCTATTTAGAGTGCCGATGCTTGCGACTCCAGCAAGGCCAAAAAGTTTGAGAGTGTCTGATGAAATCTAATCAGAATATCATCTGACTCACTAGCAAAGGATTTTTGTCATTGTCAAGTTTGGTTGAACACGTTCTAACTGCTCATTACGACGCAACCCCCTCGGACTATCCGACAGGATTCGCTGTGTACTGTCAGAAATTGGCTGAAGCAGTGGCTTGGTGAGCTGTGGAGGCCCCAAGTCAACTTCAAGCGTTTTTGCTTTTGCTGCTGCTGCTGCTGCTGCTGCTGCTGCTGCTGCTGCTGCTGTTAGGAGTTTATCGCAGTCTATTGCAACGGCTACAAGCACCAGTATTGTCCTAGACCACCGCAGCTACCTCACAAGTCTTGACTGACTATTGCGAAAATCATCTCTGCCAGCCAAGGTACCGCGAGAACAAACAGACGCAGCTGGAGCAGAAGATCGCCTCCGTGATCATGCCACCTGTGCGGGAGCTGCTGGCGAAGCAGGATGCCGATATCTAAGAGCCGCCATGATCTTACGAAGTCAGGGGCCAAGGGAAAACTCATGAGAATGTCCGATCATCGTCTTCATGGCCAGGGACAGTACCCTTTCCTCTTCGATCTTTATGCTGAACTCGTATTGTCCGACAAGCAAAACTCGTGCCGTGCAATCCTGATACGCTCTAGCTGGTTTGATGTTTGACGCGAAGGGCTGGGCTCTCAAGTCATACACTTACACGCGCAAAGCACCCGCTGCTGGCAGACTTGCAAGGATCACAAGCATAGCTGGCGATAGTAGTCCAAAAAAGTTGTAATGACCAGACCACTAGAAGGAGAGAGCGAAGAAGGTTAACTTGTGGTTAGTAGCGGCAACACCAGCTAGGGATCCCACCATGGGACCAGTGCCACTCCCTCGTGGTGTGGGCGCTGTCGACGCAGCATGTCTACAGCTAGACGCACGTCCCACTAGTAAAGCGGCATCATCAAGCAAGCAACAAAGCAAGATCGCATGAACGAGAGATGCAATTGAATTGATAATTAGGCCTGTGTATCAAAGATACCCTTGTCCCCTGGAGGACTCCGTCCGGGAAAGCTCCCTTGAGGAGCCAGCTTTGAAGCAATTTGAAGGGGCTGTCACTGTTCGGATCGCGCTGTGCTGGTGCTGGTATGGTTTTGGTGAGGGTGCTGGTTCACTATTCTTGTCTTGGGTTGGTAGCAGAGGAGCCGGCGAATTTGAACAACTCCGGGAGTGTTCCAAGTCTGGATTCCTTTGGCAGACCCTTGCGGCAAAGCCGTACTGAGCCGGACAACTAACAGCAAACAGTAATTCAGAATAGGCGTGCCAGGGCGCCATGCATTGCCAAGGGCCGGAAGATCCTTCCATCTTGGTGCCTTGCCGGATCCAAGACTAGAGCCTAGAGATTCTTGTCTTATACAACGCGGAAGAACAGGGCGGAGAGCTGGGGACCTTCCGAGCCAGGCATTTTTTCACAAACGCCTTAAATTCCCATAATTTCTCGTGTGGAACTCTGCACCTCTTCATCGATAAGTTGGTGGAGCCTTAGCGACAACCGAGCCAGGAGTGGAGCAGCAAGAAGGAGGTCCGAGATGCACGGGAGAACTTCATCCGTGCGCTTACAGACAAGTTCGGCAGCAACTTGGCATGTTCGTGGGGGGGGGGGGGGGGGGNNGGGGGGGGGGGGGGGGGGGGGCCACACAAACCTTCAGGTGTATAGGTCAGACTTGGAAAGCCAAGAGGGTTGGTGCCGGATCACGGGAGTTGAGTAACTTTGAAGGGTGCGTAGAAGACTTTGTCGCGTTCTTGGAAGGTGCATGGGCACATGACTCAATGCCAGCTCTTTTTGCAGCCCATGTCACCTAAGATTTCTCAGCGCTCGTCGTTTAAAACTGTCACGCAAGTCCCGTTTGCTTGATTGGGCCCTGGCGCATTGTAATGGCATCCCGCGCAAAAAACCCTCGGAACAGTCGACTGTCGCATCGGATCTGGTGCTGACAGCCCCCTAACCTGCACCTCATGTCAAACACCAAACCCTGATTCTCTAGACTTGAGCCCTGAAGCCCTAAACCCTCCA